CGCTAAACGAGACCACGGAGCTGCACGGAGATCCCCTGCGGCCCGAAGGGCCACTTACGGAATGCAAACCCTGCACCCAAAACATTATTTTTCAACGATAAAAAAAAGAACCAAACAAATGTGGTGTTGGGTCCTCCTTTCAAGAGACAGCGCCCCGCGTTCCCGTTCCTCGTCCTCCTCCTCCCGCTGCCCCCTCTTTGCCTCTGCCCTCAACATAGTTCGGCACACCTCTCACACGCTTCGTGGCCCCATATGGGAGCTCCACCGAAAGCCCCAGTGGCTGCGTTCGCGCGACACCGCCGCGCACATTTCGGCACACCCCTCACACGCTTCGTGGCCCCCTTGGGAAGCTCCACCGAAAACCCCAGTGGCTGCGCTCGCACGACACCGCCGCGCCCATTTCGGCACACCCCTCACACGTCTTGTGTCCCCCTGGGGAGCTCCACCGAGGGTCTCAGTGGCTGGGTTCGCATGACACCGCCGCACGAATTTCGGCACACCCCTCGCACGCTTCGTGGCCCCATGGGGAGTTCCGCCGAAGGCCCTAGTGGCTGCGTTCGCATGACACCGCCGCTCCCATTTCGGCACACCCCGCAAACGTTTCGTGTCCCCCTGGGGAGCTCCACCGAAGGCCCCAGGGACTGCGCTCGCATGACGCCACCGCACCTATTCTGGCACATCCCTCACACGCTTCGTGGCCCCATAAGGAGCTCCACCGAGAGCCACAGTAGCTGCGTTCGCATGACACCGCCCGCCCCATGTCGGCACACCTATCACCCCGCACACACCCCTATGGGGCACGAAACGTGTGAGGGTGCCGAAATGGGCGCGGCGGGCCATGCGAGCGCAGCCACTGGGGTCTGCTGTGGAGCTCCCTATGGGGCCACCAAACGTGTGACGGGTGTGCCAACATGGGCGCGGGGGTGCCATGCGAACGCAGCCACCTGCGCCTTCGGTGGAGCTCCTTCTGGGGCCACGAAGCGTGTGAGGGGTGCGCCAAAATGGGCGCGGCGGTGTCATGCGAGCGCAACCACTGGGGCCTTCGGTGGAGCTCCCTGTGGGGCCACGAAACGTGTGAGGGGTGTGCCGACATGGGTGCGGCGATACAATGCGAGCGCAACCACTGGGGCCTTGCATGGAATTCCCTATGGGGCAACGAAACGTGTGAGGGGTGTGCCGAAATGGGCGCGGCGGTGTCATGCGAACGCAGCCACTGGGATCTTCGGTGGAACTCCCGATGGGGCCACGAAACGTGTGAGGGGTGTGCCGAAATGGGCGCGGTGGCATCATGCGAGCGCAGACCGTGGGGCCTTCGGTGGAGCTCCGTATGGGGCTACGAAACGTGTGAAGGGTGTGCCGACTGGGCGCGGTGGTGTCATGCGAGCGCATCATTGGTGGGGATTTCGGTGGAGATTCCTATGGGGCCACGAAGCGTGTGCCGAAATTACTGCGGTGGGGCCTCCGGTGGAGTTCCTTACGGGGCCACGAAACGTGTGAGGGGTGCGCCGACACAAAAACATGCGGAGGGCAGAAGCAAAGAGGGGACAGCGGAAGGAGGAGGAGGAAAAGGAGTGTGAACGCGGGGCGCTCTCTTCAAAACGAGGACCCAACATTACAAAAAAAATTGGAACAAAACTGTATTTTCAACAACAAAAAGTTCCGCGAATCCTATTCATTCCTAAACTCCTCATGATATCCCACTGAAGCCGTGGAGCGGCGCACACCGCCATGCGAAGCGAAGTCCTAAACACGCACGGTCCTGTGTATGAAAAATGTGGCGCGGGCCACAGCCCGCGGGCCCGGCCAAACGCAACGTTTTTGTAGCCCGTCATGATCATCCATAAAAAAACGTGGCGCGATGCACATCGCCATGCGAAGCTAAATCCCAAATTCGCACGATCCTCCATTACAAATATGGCGCGGGCAACATCTCGCTCGCGCCGCCGAAGGAAGCGAATTCTTTGCCCCTCGCGATCGTGAATTACAAATATGGCGCGGGGCACATCCCACCCGCGCGTTTTTTGCGCGAATTTCACGATCGCTCACGAAAAACACGATGCGAAACACATCCCCCTCGCTCGACGCCCGTTCGAGGGCGGCGCGCGCTTCGCGGGGACCCCCGCGCGGCCCTAGGCGGCCCCCGATACTCCGAAGAGCTGCCGCGAGCTCCTCCCAGGGGCCGCCGCGCGCTCCTGTGCTGGTCCTCCAACCTACTGTTTTTCCCGCATCTTGTTCGCTGTTCCTCTCTGCTCCTCCCTGCTCCACACGGCATTCCCCGGTGGTTTGCAAGCACCAGGGTGTGCGTGTGCCTTCACATGTCATGGGTTTCTCGACTGGGTGGGATGCGAGCACCGAATCAGTGTAGGACACTTTGTGTTTAGACGTATTCGTGTTTGTTTAATCTAAACCCTACACCTTAACCCTAGTGCCCCAGCATCGGGGGAAAGGCGGGGCCCTGCCCCTAACGGAGGACGAAGAGGAAGGGGAAACGGCGAGGAGGGCGAGGGAACGAGGTCGAAGAGAGGAAGAGGCGCTGCTGCTGCGGCGCCGCCGACCGCAGGCGACGACAACAACAACAACAACAACAACAACAACAACAACAACAACAACATGATTTAAGACTGCCCGCTCTTATATGATCGCGTGTCATTCAATATGCATATCCCAAACACTGAATGCCCGCCCTCTTCGTCTTCGATCGCGCCCCCTTTTGGGGGGCACATACATTCCCTGCCACGCGTGGTCGGTGAAACCCTTGAGCACGAAGGGCAACAGATAACGGGAGGGAATGAGGACGAATGGACCAGAGGAAAGGAGGGGGGGCAAGAAGAGAAGAGGACGACGACTTGCACTGCGAGGGGCGATTCAGTTTGCGCCACGGTTTGCGCCAGCCACTCCAACACAGGTGAGCAATAAGTTTCGCCATGGGTCGCGCCATAAACAGCGCCACGCACCACCCCCTTGAAAGAAAATATCGTGGATACCCCCACGGGGGGACGCACAGCTGCGAATTGGCGTCAAAATCGAATTTCGTGGAACCAACCCTGAAAAGAAGCGAGATGTTGGGAGAGTGGGGCGGAAGGATAGCGAGAACTGCAAACGCGTCGAGAGGGGCGCGGGGACGCGGAGTGGATTGGGATGGAATGGACACGAGTGGGGCCCCAGGAAAAAGAGCGGCAAGGAATGGAGAAGAGGAACCGGGAGGAGCGCGGAGGAACTGGGGGCGTACGGAGGAATCTGGAGGAGGGACTGGGAATAAATTGGGAGATATGCGGAATGCGAGCGGGAAGGGGTGGATATTGTTGGGGCGGGATGGGGCGGCCTGGGGGGGAGCGGGTGGACTGCGAAGAACTGAGGAATAGCACAATGGAGTACGAACGAAATGAAAATGACGATAAAAGGAAAGAGTAGAGAAGACTGTGAGAAAACGTTGAAAAGTGGGGGCAGGTGGATACGGGCGGAGACTGGTGCGGAAACAAAGCGCAGGGGGGATTGAACGCACCCGAAAGCCTCCTATGACCTCTGGGGGGCCTCGGAATGGCCCCGATGACCACCGAGCAGTTCCGGAGGCTCCGAAAACCTGCGCCAACGCCCCAGAGGTCTCGTCGAGGGAGGCCTTCATTCGAAGCCTGCTGAAGAACCTGGGCCAGTGGAACACGCGCGTCTCAAGTGGAGCACGAGGGGCAGCGAGGGGGCCACTGAGGGCAGCAACGGGGCCACGAAGGGCAGCGAAGGGGCCACGAAGGACAGCGGGACCACGAAGTGCAGCGAAGGGACCACGAAAGGCGACAGCGGGGCCACTGAGGGCAGCAATGGGGCCACGAAGGGCGCGAGCGAGCGGGGGCCACGAAGGGCATGCGTATAGGGGGCCGCAGAGGGCAGCGACGGGGCCACTGAGGGCAGAAACGGGGCCACGAAGGGCAAAGAGGGGGCCACGAAAGGCGACAGCGGGGCCACTGAGGGCAGCAATGGGGCCACGAAGGGCGCGAGCGAGCGGGGGCCACGTGGGGCATGCGCATAGGGGGCCGCAGAGGGCAGCGACGGAGCCACTGAGGGCAGAAACGGAGCCACGAAGGGCAAAGAGGGGGCCACGAAGGGCAACAGGGGCCGCAAACGGCGACAACAGGGCCACGAAGGGCAGCAAAGGGACCACGAAGGACGCGAGCGGCGGCCACGAAGGGCATACGTATATGGGGCGAAAAAGGGCGACAGCGGGGCCACAGAGGGCAGCGAGGGGACCACGAAGGTCTCGAGGGGGCCACAAATGGCAAGCAGAGCGACGAAGGGCAGCAATGGGGCCACGGAGGGCATGCATATGGGGCCACGACGGGCGCGAACGAGCGGGGGCCACGAAGGGCATGCGTATAGGGGGCCGCAGAGGGCAGCGACGGGGCCACTGAGGGCAGAAACGGGGCCACGAAGGGCAAAGAGGGGGCCACGAAGGGCGACAGCGGGGCCACGAAGGGCATGCATATGGGGCCACGACAAGCGCGAACGAGCGGGGGCCAC